TTTTAATGGAATGTGCTGAATGTCTATAATTTTGTTCAGATGACTGCAGAACCTGGAAAAGCTGTTGCTGCTATTGATGCATAACATACTGCTATTATTAGTATTTTTATATAAATATATATATATATATGTATATATATATAAATTGAATTTTGGGAAACTAATGGTGCTGCCAATTTTGGAAGAAGTCATCCCAATTTACTGTGTTGAGTTGGCACTGTACAGAAATGGACAGCCATATTGGTCTAGAAATGTTAATTTTTTAAAATTTTTATTTATTTATTTTTTCCATGTATACAGGGGTAACACATCGTACTAAATATGTAAGGTCATATCTACGTGGGTTTAATTAGAGAAACTAATAAAGTATTCTCTAAATAATGAAAAAAAAAGAATAAGATAAGACTATAAGAGCAAGAAGCAATTTAAATATGTTCAGGGACCATTTTCATCTCCAGAATTAAGGATTATTTTGATGTTACATCATTGCCTTTTCTCTTTTACTTTCCCTTTTAGTTTTATTTTAGGATTCCCTATTTTTAATGTTCATACAGAGATTTCTTTAACTGAAATACCGAATAGTTTCTTTGGTGTGAAAAACTATAATAGTACACAGGATCCTAATGAGATAATTAATAATGTGAAATAGGAAGTAAAGGGCTAAAGGTGTAGGGAAAGTGGGAAGGGTGGGGAAAGGTAATAAGGGAGAGGAAAAAAATATGAGAAACTGAAAAAAATGGAAATAAAGTGTTTGTAAATGGGGAGGGGAGGAGGGGGTGAAAGGAGGGCAGGGACAAGGGGAAAAAATGAGAATCAAGACCTATTATGTAAAGGTACAGAATCCCAATGATGAATGTAACTGTACTGTATACCTAGATTGTACCAATAAACTCAAAAAGAGAAACAAACAAACAAACAAAAAGATGCTTTTGATACCAAATTAAATTAAGGGCATAAGATTGCATATATATATAATTGTGGTAATTATTAATTTTCTGATGTACTAAATGAATCCATTCTTTCTGACTGCACAGGTTTTCTAATATGTTGTTTATGGTAACAACCTCCCTTTGATTCAGGTATTTACCTCTCTCTTACACTCCAGCTACTTATGATAACAAGTACATTTATAGCCTGATGTATTTTCTTTGAATGGCATCCTATCAAAGGATAACAATTCAGATGAGAAAGTTTTATGTTTCTGTAGAAGAATGAGTGCATTTAACAATGGCTATTTTATATTAAGATGGACATATGTGTTACAGAGATAATGTCATCATGATTGTCATGCTAAAATATTATGTGTACCTTTTGAGTTGAAGCTTTTTTTTCTGTTAACATTTTACAGGAGTTCGACTGCTGGAATAACTATGATTCAGGTCAGGCGTGGTGGCACATGCTTGCAATCCCAGCACTTGGGAGGCTGAGGCAGGAGGATTGCTGTGAGTTCAAGACCAGCCTGAGCTACATAGTGAGTTCCAGGTCAGTCTCAACTACATAGTGAGACCCTATCTCAAAAAAGCAAAAAACAAGGCCAGGGATTTAACTCATTGGTTCCAGCACCTGCCTCACAAGCACAAGGGCCTGAGTTTGATCTCACTAAACTTTAGAGACCAGAACTGGAAAAGCAACTGGGCTAAGAAAACAGCCAATATCTTGGCCCTGGCCCTTCAAGGTCTACAAACAACCCAGGACATAAGAGGACCTTTTCTACAGGATTCTGTAGCTTTGGTGAGTCACCCAGCCTCCTGAGCAGGGAGATTGTTGGACACCAAAAGGATAAGAATCAATAGTGTGCCAAGGGAATGTCACTTGTAGGGAGGAATCTCCCACGGTTTCACAGAGGGCAGCATGGTCAAGCGAGGCTGTGGCACATCCTGATGGCTGATGCTGGCAGGAGCTGAGAGGCAGTAGGCAGGGTTCAAAGCAACCTGCCTGTGGAGGTTTAGTTGAACTTGATGGACAGCAAGACGTTAGTTTTAACGAGTATAGGTCTCACCTTGGCTTGGTGTTGATCACCCAGTTGAGGCATGTAATCCAAAGATTAGTGAAGTCAAGACCACGGTGGTAGGGCTGGATTTGAGAAGGGGCTCCGGTTACTGGCCCCTACTGACAGTTTCCAGCTACACTGCTGACTCACTCCTGCTATGGGTCATTAGAAGAAAAAATTGGTAAAATGTGTAGACCTCAACAAGAGTTTTTAAATTTTTTAGCTATAACTTTAAAAAAATTACTAAATTTCAATCTTTTTGCAGCAAAATTAAAAGAAAAAATTATGACAAATATCAGAGACTTCTAGATAACTTCCATTAATAAAAGGGCCTAAGAGCCAGCGAGTTACAATCACTATTTTAGTCCTTTAGAACAGTTTAACACCCCTCACCTGTGGCAGCTACAGGGCTCGCAGCTTTCAGAGAGCAGCAGCCAGGCAGTAGGAAGATTCTACACAAACTACTCTTTCCCCTTTTTGCTTTCCTGGCTCTTCTATTTGTTTTCTCCAGACCTAAACATCTTTCAGCAAAGATCTAAAATGAAAGTTATAAGCCATACGCATGCAAATGTTAATATTCAACAGCTCAGTGCAGTCTCATTCATACATTTCCTCCCTGTACAGTCCTGCAAGACCAAAATCACCTCCTTAAAAACCAAACCCACAGCCTGAGTTTCTGGTTCTTGGACTTCTCCACATTTGAGATTAAAGGAACCATTTTCCTAACATATAACTGTAATGTCTTTATGGGCAAAAAAGTACAGTACTGCCCTTAATTTTTTTTTACATTTGTTACCTCACTGCCTTAATGTCCCAATTTAATTCTAGAGAATTAAAAAAAAAAAAGTTTAACAAATGTGCTAGATTTTTTTTAACCAAAATCCACCAGATTGACTTTATATAGAGAGTTTATAATGGCTAAGTTACAACATGATTTTTATTTAAGGCCTATTAAATTAGCTCCCTGAAGAGAGGCCGACCAGCAGTCTTGCCTACATCAACCTTTCTCAGCTTGAAGCAAGTGGACTGAAACTGCGCCTTTTCTCCCCTAACTACAGTTGGAGATGCTTTTTATAAAAAAAACAATAGACAGCTAGGTCAGTCAGACACATTGTAAGTCCTTGTGACAGGTCCACTGGATAACACAGGGGGCCAAGCCATTGTTGGATCTACTCACCTTTCCCTAAAGACACAATTACATCAACAAAAAAGGGGAAGGGGGAGTACAGCTACCTCCAAAAGCTCAATTAGATCTTGTTACTTTCATCTGAAAATTTTTAGATCCACCTATGGAAAACAAATATACTCCACTGAGACTCCACTGATACAAAAAAAGATCCACAGACATGTCCGACACTAGTGTTGTCAAAGTCTGTCCTAACTGAAAGGTAAATGGCTCAATACAATTAACAACATAGGGGCCAGGGTCAGCTTATTTTCAACAGAAAATAAAAAGATGCTGTGGCCACCCTCCCAGAATGCACCACCGCAGACCAAGATGGACTCGCTGCAGGCAGCGCGCTATGACACCCTGCTGAGAGCCACGCAAAGGCTGCATCTGAGCGATACCCTCGCCTGTGACAGCCCTGGGACCTGCGAGGATCACGAGACCTGAAGCTGCTGCCATTTTCAGAGAAGGGGGAGATGCAGAGGACATAATACTGATGATGCCCAAAGCAGGCCGTGAGGAGTGAGCCCCGCAACTGGCTTGCTTATGGAAGCCTGTGAGCAACTCGCACCCACAACTAAACCTTCAGGCTACAAGGACAATGTTCTAATTACAACCATATATTTTGTCTATTCTATTCCTAGTCCAAGTATGCTTTGTCTAGTCTTTATGAGCCTTTTTTACATTAATTTCGATAGAAACCACACGGTCACCTTTAACCCAATTGATTGCCAATAAGTCAGTGCCTGGGCCTGGCCAGTGCCTTTGTCAGTTACACCTGCATTGGTTATCCTGGCGCCCCGCTTTCTCTTAGTTCTGTCTCCCAGTGTATTCTTTTTCTCAGGCCTGCACTGCAAACTGGGCAGGTGGGGACTGGAACCTGACTGCAGGGGTCTCTAACAGTGGCCCACAGGCCACAGGAGGATTGCTGCTGCCCCATAGGAGCAAGTATTTTCTCCAGGAAGAAAGCGAGGATAAAGGAAAGGCACTGTCCTTGATGAGGATCAGCTGCCCACAGATCAGGAGATAGCAACTGTTCAAAACGGCCTGGGAGAATTTGCCAGCAGGCACAAGCAAGAGGTCCCAAAGAATATCGAGTTCTGGGTGCAGTTTGTGGACTGTGTGCCACCATTGCAGTAGACACGCTGACCCCTGGAAGACATGGTGCTCTGAGATGCTCTATGTAAGAGATTTCTTTCTTGGGAGGGGGTTTTGAGACAGGGTCTCACTATGTAGTTGAGGCTGACCTGCAACTCACTATGTAGCTCAGACTGGTCTCCAACTCACAGCGATCCTCCTGCCTCAGCCTCCCTTCTTTCTCTCCCTCTCCCTTCTCTCCCTTTCCCTCTCTCTCCCCTTCCCTCTCTTCCCTCTCCCCCTCTCCCTCTCTCCCTCTAGTGTGAGAATTAAATATAGGATACTTGCACTGAGCTATAGCCCCAGCCCTTCTTTAAATATATTGAGAGAGGATCTCATTAAGTCACTAACTTAACCAGGCTGGGTTCAAATGTCTGATCCTCCTGCCTCAGCCTCTGGGATTTCTGGGATCACAAGTGTGCGCCCCCATGCCCAGCTGCCTTTAATTCCTCATGTCCTAAGCCAGGCGGTCTTGGCCATCCTGGCAAGCTTGTTCTTTTCTCTTCACACACACCTGTCGCTACAGTTCCTCTAAAGTTCTCAGACCTCCGTTCCAGCGCTTAGGGCTTGGCACACTCTGGTAATCGCATGCCCAGTTTGTGGTAGAAATCTCTTACACAAGCCGGGCATGGTGGCGCCTGTAATCCCAGCACTAGGGAGGCTGAGGTAGGAGGAGGATCGCTGTGAGTTCGAGACCAGCCTGGGCTACATAGTGAGTTCCAGGTCAGTCTCAACTACATAGTGAGACCCTGTCTCAAAAAAGAAAGAAAGAAAGAAGCTAGAGGTACTTGGTACTGGCTTTGGCAGCATCTCTCTGGGTGGCACTTACTATATTTCCGCTCACATAAGATCTAAGTGGAAAATAAGCCCTTGTGAAATTCTTCAGGATGCCCATAACATTAGTCCTACCCCAAAATAAACCCTAGTTAAGCTCATCCCCAGACGGATGCATTCACCCCACTCGGTCCATCTGTGCTGAGCTCTTGGATGGGAATGAAACTGCCAGTGACATCAAAGCCAACATGAAACAGGAGTCAGGAGACAGCGTGCTGGGCGCCAGCACCTGACGCAGGAAGCATGGTCTGGCTGTAGCCGCAAGGATGGGCTGGCTCCACAGTGACAGCTGTTCTGTCACAGAAAAGAGGGAGGAGCCACTGGTGAATAAAACCTGAAGAATTCTATGTTTAAAAAAAAGAAAAAAATCAATCAATAGAAAGAAGTCTATAAATTACAATGGTGACATTAGAGCCACTGACAAACATAGGATGGTCCAAATGGGGCTTTATGTATGCAAATACAGTATCTGAAGGGGAAAGTACACTAGATGACATAAAGCAATTGCTAAGGAAAAATCAGTGAGCATGAAGATATGACAACAGAAACTAAACAGAGAGAAAAATAATTGAAAAGAGAATCATTTATGTACGGGACAATAGAAGCTTGTGGATACATTCACATGTGACATAGGATCTCAAAAAGACAGGTGATGGCTGGGAAGAGGTTTAAAAAATATTTAAAGGGAGTCATGTGTGGTGGCACAAGCCTGTAATCCCAGCACTTGGGAGGCTGAGGCAGGAGGATCACTGTCAGTTCAAGGCAAGCCTGAACAACACAGCAAGACCCTGTCTCAAAAAACAAACAATAGGGAAGGGTGAAGGAGTGAAGGAGGTGAAGGGAGGGCAGGGGCATGGGGTAAAAATAACCAAGATACATCATGTAAAGGTACAAGATCCCAATGATAAATGGAATTGCATTGTTTGCTTTAAATGTACCAATAAACTTAGTGGGAAGACAAACAAAAATTTAAGAAAAAAGACAATTTCTGAATTTGCTGAAAGTAATGAATGCATAGATCAATTAAGCCTAAGCAGATAATTCAAAAGAAAATCACACCAGGGCCAGGGATGTAGCTCAGTGGCACTGTGCCTGCCTCGCAAGCACAAGGTCCTAAGTTCTATCCCTAATACCAAGGAAAAGAAAATCACATCAAATCACTTTAAAATGAAATTGCTAAAATCAGTAGTAAAAAAGAAATATCCAAATTAGCCAGAAAAAAAGACATTTTACTTACAGAAGAATAAATATAAAAATGTCTTTAGAGTAATGACCTACAAAAGCCAGCCTGCCAGGGATGTGGCTCAGTGGCACAGTACCTGCCTGGCAAGTGCAAGGTTCAATCCCCAGAACCTCAAAATTTTAATATAATAAAAATTAAAAAGCCAGCCTGCTGACCCAAAGCTCCTTAGCTGGAATAAGTATTTTGAAAAAAAAAACAAACAAAAACAAAGGCCGGGGATTTAGCTAAGCAGCACCATGCCTGCCTTGCAAGCACAAGGACCTGAGTTCAAAATCCCTAGTACCAAAAGAAAACAAAAAAACAAAGGCACATTCCTCAAAAAGCTAAGGAGAGAATTGCCATGGGAAAACTGGGTGCTAAAAGTTCATCAACCTATGAATGGACAAAGATGTGGTCTTTTTATACAATGGAGTACTATTCTGCCATAAAGAAGGATAAGCCTGAAACATTTCTACCTAAACAGATGCACATTGAGACCATACTCTTAAGTGACATAAATAAGACACACATGTTTAAATACATAGGAGCTGGGGATTTAGTTCAGTGGTTCCGCCACCTGCCTCGCAAGTTATATCCCCTGTACCTAAAAAAAAAAAGATTAAATACCACATTGTTTCTCTGGTGTGAGAAACTAAAAGTGGAAATAAAGACTAAAATGTATAACAGATTGGGAAATGGGAAGAAAATATTCAAATGAGAAAAGGAACAGGGAGGGAGAAATGAAAGAAAGGGCAAGAAAAAAGAGAATAGAAGGAAAAAAGAAAAAAAGCCTTTGTAAATAAGGAGGGGAAGAGGGGTTGAAGAGGGAAAATTGGAAAAAAGAAGCAAGATATATCATGCAAATTCCCTACGATGAATATTATCATTATGTATATAAAAATGTGTCAATAAATGTTTTGCTTCGAAAGAAAGAAAGGGAGAGAGAAAGGAAACTGGATGCTGGCACACTGCTGTAATCCCAGAAGGGAAAACCAAGAGCTTTCCCTCTAAAATCAGAAACTAGAGGGTGTACACTATCACCACTCCTGTCCAACAGTCCTTGAAAGTTTAGCCAGAGCAATCAGGCAAGAGAAAGAAACAAAGAGGATATGTACAGATAAGGAGAAGCCAGACTATCCTTGTGCACAGGATTCTTCACCTGAGACTCAAAACATTCCACCAAAGATTCCTAGAACTAACTAAAAATTCAGCAAGGTAGCAGGATACAAAATCAAAATCCAAAAACCCAATAGCGTTTCTGCACACTAACAATAAACCCACTGAGAAAGAAATTAGAAAAACAATACCATTCACAAAATCTTTCAAGAAAAATTAAAGGACAGCAGAAAATGGAAAGATAGAGCCGGAGATTCAGCTCAGTGGTTCTGCTGCCTGCCTCACAAGTGGAAGGACCTGAGTTCAATCCCCAGGACAAAAAAAAAAAAAAAAAAAAAAAAAAAAGATATTCCCTGTTCTTGGATAGCTAGAACCAACACTTCAAAATGGCCATACTTCCAAAACTAATATATAGATTTAATGCAATCCCAATCAAAATACCAACAGCATTCCTGCCCCGTGTGGTGGCACACAGCTGTAATCCCAGCACTCAGGAGGCTGAGGCAGGATTTTGAGGACTGCCTGGACTCCAAAGTGAGCTCAAGGCCAACCTGAACTACATAAGAGGACTAAAAAAAAAAAAAAAAAAAAAAAAACAGGGGTGAGGGATTTAGCTCAGTGGTGCCAAAAAGGTAGGGGCTTCAGAAAGATGGAGGACCCTTGGTCCTTTTTATCAGTGGGGCAGAAACACCCCCCCCCTTTTGTTACAGCCTGATTGGCTATTTCAGGCTGTAAGACCCTTAATTTGGATAGCATTCTCTGTGGGCTATGTGCAAATGTCTAGGTGAGCACTGTCTGGCTTTTCTTCGTCCTCTGAAGGCCTTATCTCTAAAATCTATGGAGGCCTTCCAAGCAAGCCCAGTTAGCAATTGTGAAGGGGCTATTCCCTAATACAGTGGCCCTAGAGTGAAATACACACACACTAAATGAGAGCTTTCTTTTAAATGAGCACCCCTTGTTTCCTTTGCATGTGTGAGCAGGTGAGGCTTCCTGGCTTCCTCTCTGCTCTGCCTATCCCCTGTCCTCTTATCTTGTTCATTGCTTTCTCCAGTGCAGCTGTTAACTCTTTCTAGTCAGAGAGACCTTTCTCTATTTACAGACCCTTTTCCCTACATGAAGAACTCAAAAACAGCTAGACTCCCCTCAAATAAAAGACCCAATCAAAAAGGCCACTGAAATGAAGAGCCACTTCTCAGAACAAGAGCAAATGACCAATAAGTACATGAAAAAAACGTTCAACATCTCTGGCCATTAAAGACATGCAGATTAAAACAATACCGAGTTTGCTTCTCCCCCCAGAAGGAACGGCATCATGGAGAAATCAAACGCTGGCGGGGTTTGTGCACTGCTGGTAGGTGCTGGGAGTGTGACCCAGTACAGCCACGGAAGCCCCCGAAACCCAGAAAGCGGAACACCCGCAGGGCCGCAGACACTGTCCCGCAGCCAGCGGCGCCCCGAGAGCGAGGCCCTGCCGGGACGGGCACACGGTCCTGCGTGGGGTGGGCGCACGCCGGAGCCGTAGGTCACGCAGCACAAGGAGGAGACACGCGCTTGCACGGCTCACGGCCTCACGAGGAAGCCACCCTCTAGGGGACGCTGGGAACGGAGACGCGTCGGGCTCCGGCCACCTCCCCACGACGATGCGGTCAAACGGTGCAAACGCGGACTAATACAAATCTTTAAAAATAGTATGAAAAGGGCTGGGGATTTAGCTGTGGTTCTTCCACCTGCCTCGCAAGCACAAGAACCCGAGTTCGATCCCCCGTACCAAAAACAAAAACAAACAAAAAATAATATGAAAAAGCACACCACCAAAAAAAAAAAAAAAATCAAACATCAGTATCCACAGGTGACTCAGCTCAGCTCGGGGCTCAGAAGCAACTAGGCCGTGTAAGAGACCCTCGCGCGTGCGCAGACACAGGCAGCCCAGAGCCGGAGCAGGAGCCGGAGCCGGAGCCGGAGCCGGAGCCACAGCCACAGGAGGGGGCGGGGCTAGGCCGCGCCTGCGCAGTGCTTTAACCCGCCTACCTCAGCTGAGCTTTAATAAGAGTTGGGAAGTACAGATGACTTTGGTGACTGTCCTATCAGGTTTGCCCCTTCCCATCATCGGGGAAAGTTTCCTGCTTCGTTTGGGGGTTGGCAGATCACTCCCTGCCGCAGTGGGTTGGGTCTTGGCGATCTTGATTTCTTGGCCCTGGCTTCTTGGTATCTGACCACAGTCTTGAGAGCTGAGCTTTTTAACCTCTTTACTCTTGAGGTGATATCCTAATTTTTTAGCTTTGAAGACTGATCCATTTTGTTTTGCTTTGTTTTTTGATGTCACTTTAGTATTCTTTTTTGGTACCGGAGATCGAACGCAGGACCTCGCAATTGGGAGGCAGGCGGCGTCGCCACGGAGCTAATCTCCGGCGCTTATTTTGTTTTTTGAGACAGGGTCTCACTATGTAGTTCAGGCTGGTCTTGAACTCACTGTGTTGGCCTCGAACTCACAGCAATCCTCCTGCCTCAGCTTTCCGAGTACTGGGATTACAGGCCTGCGCTACCTTGCCCAGCTGGTCTACCTTTTTTGTTTTGTTTAGGACTGGAGATCGAACGTTGCGCTTGCGAGGCAGGTGGCGGAACCACTGAGTTAAATCCCCAGCCCAGGTCTACGTTTTTAAACCCCAACCCCCTGGTATGTTTGCTAGGCCCCTGAAACTGAATATCAATATTTAATTTCTTTCTTTCCTTCCTTCCTTTCTTTTTTTGTACTGGGGATAGAACTCAATACCTTGCTCTTCTGAGGCAGGTGGTGGTACCACCGAGTTAAATCCCCATCCTGATATTTAATAACCATCAAAGACATTAAATCTGGTCAAGATTCAATTTGTAAGAAAGAAAAGTTTAGCCAGGCGCAGTGGCACATGCCTGTAATCCCAGCTACTTGTAAGACATGCAGGCAGAGGAGCCCAGGCAGGGCTGGGCAATTTAGTGACACCCTGTGCCCGCTCCATCCGCACTTCACCCCACCCCCACAGCAGAAAAAAATTCATGTCTGGGTAAAACTCAGTGGTGGAACACTTGCCTAGCAGGGGGACAGGCCCATGATACCAGCTACTTGGGAGGCTGAAGCAGAAGGATTACAAATTCAGTCACCTTGGGCAACATTACAAGATCCAATCTAAAAAAAAAAGTTTTTGTTATTATGTTTATTTTTTGTTGTTGTTGTTCAAAAAAACAAAATTCAAAACAGATTTTAGGGCCGGGGATTTAGCTCAGCGGTTCGGTGGCCTGCCTTGCAAGCACAAACACCCAAGTTCAATCCCTGGTACCAAAAAAAAAAAAATACAGATTTTAGGGCTGGGAATTTAGCTCAGTGGTTCCGGCCTCTGCTTCACAAGCACAAGGACTCGAGTTTGATCCCTGGTACACACACACACACACACACACGCACGCACGCACGCACACACACACACAAATACAGATTTTAAAGTAGGTGTGGTGGTGCACGCCTACAATCCTAGCATGCAGGAGGCTGAGGCAGGAGAATCTCCATGAGTCTGAGGCCAGCCTGAACTACATAGCAAGATCCTGTTTCAAAATATAAAAACAAATAAATGCATTATGGGGCTGGAGATGTAGCTCAGTGACACCGTTCCTGCCTAGCAAGGGCAAAGTCCTAAGTTCAATTCCCAGTACCAAAAATATAAATAAATAAATAAATACATTAGTACCCCCGCTCTTTGGCTATTTAAGATGGAACTGTGTAGTCCAGGCTGGCTTCAAACTCTGTGATCCTACTGACTCTGCTTCCCAAAGACTTGGATTACAAGTGTGTACCACCATGCCCAGCTGACTATTGGTCTCTTAAATCATACAGAAGACAAAAAGTCAAGATGCAAACTGGTGTAATACTAGCCTGGATGCTTACTCGTACCTTCCCACGGCTTTGGGTAGATGTGCAGCGCATTTCACCCTTGCTGCTCCTTTAAGCATTTCTGCAAGGACAAGAGAGTGGTAGTGAGCTTCCTTGGTCTGGTTTATCTGGGGATGTGTTCACTTCTCCTGCCCTCTGGGCCTTTTGTTTTAGCAGTGCAGGGAACTGAACCCAAGACCTTTACACTGGGCTACAGCCCAACCTTTATCATTTATTTTGAGACAAGATCTCAAATTGTCAAATTACCCAGGCTGGCCTTGAACTTTTAATTCTCCTGCCCCTGCCTCCAGAGTATTTAGGAATATAGAGTGCACCACATTTAGCTTTCTCCCACATCTGAAGAATAGTTTTGCCACATATAGGACTCTTAGCTGACAGTTTTTTTTTTTAATTTTAGCACTTTGAATATATCAGTCCAATGCCTTCTGTTATCCAAAGTATAATAAATCTTACAATTATATTGAGAATCCTTTATTTGTGATTTTGCTTCTCTTGCTGTTTTCAAGATTCTTATTGTTTAGAAAGTTTGTTGGTTTAGGCTTTTTGAGACAGGGTCTCTGATATGTAGCCCATTCTGGCCTTGAACTTGCAGCAATCTTCCTGCCTCAGCTTCCCAAGTGCTAGGATTACAGGTGTGTGCCACCACACGGAATTTCTTCTTTTACTCAGTTTTAAAATGTCTTTACTGATATATCCACTTTTTCTTCACATCTTTCTTTAGTTCTTTGAGCTGCTATTTTTTTTCTTGTATCAATATATTTGTGAAGGATCCATCCGTAAGAAGCTAAGAGTCAGTTTCCGATGGGGGACATTCTCACGGAGGTGCTGTAAGGCCAAGTCCATCCACTCTATTGCCTGTTCTTCCACAGATTCTGTGCTGCCACTGTCGTCTCGTTTAGGTTCAGGAAGTTCATTCAGTGGTACTGCGACACCCTTGTAAGGCAGCTTCTCCAAGCATCATTGACCAAATCCAAGCTCCTTCTCTCTGTACCTCACTATCCATTTTCCTGCATGAACTGCTTGTTGTTTTTTGACAAAGTATCTTGCTGTGTAGTTCAGCAACTTACAGCAATCCTCCTGCCTCTGCCTCCTGAGTGCCAGGATTACAGATGTGCACTCTCTCTGAGCTGCTTTTAAGGCAGTCTGTTTATTTATGTGTGTTCATTTTGCAGTACAGGGGCACATTGAAGATCTGGTGCATGCCAGGCAAGCTCCTACCGTTGAGCTATGGTCCCAGCACTTTAAAAATTATTTTGAAACAAGACCTCATTAAGTCTCCCACTGGCCTTGAATTTTCAGTCCTCCTGCCTCTGCTGCTCAGGCTAAGTAGGCATGTGCCAGAACACTGAGTAGCACAGCTATTTTAGCCTTTCTTTAGTAGATCTGCCTTCAGGCATTTGCAGGGACTGTTTTTGTTTTTCGGGTTTTTTGAGACAGGGTCTCACTGTATAGTTGAGAATGACCTGGAACTCACTGTATAGCCCAAGCTGGTCTTGAATTCATAGTGATCCTCCTGCCTCAGCTTCCCAAGTGCTGGGATTATAGGCATGCGCCACCATACCTGGTGGGACTGTATGTATTTTTTATTTTCCTTTGAGTGGGCCTTTCTTTCCTGCTTCTTTGTATGACATATGATTTTTTTATTTTGATGAAAACTGGACATTTTCAAACAATGTGAGCCAAGTGTAGTAGCACATGCTTGTAATCCCAGCACTCAGGAGGCTGAAGCACAAGGATCACTGTGAATTTGAGCCCAGCCTGGGCTACGTAAGGTTTTGTCTCAAAAAAAAAAAAAAAAAAAAAAAAAAAAAAACCTAATGTGGTAACTCTTGGAATCAGATCCTCCCCTCCTCCAGGGTTTTTGTCATTGTATTTATTTTTTCACATTAAACCAGGTGTGGGGGCTCATGCCAACAACAGGAAAAGGGGTGGGTGGAAGTCACTTCAGGAGCGGGGGTGCAAGAGGGAGTGGAGGGGGTGAGCGTGGACGCTTTTCTTTGTGCCCTGCGGTCAGAGGGAGCAAGCAGCTCAGAGCTCCTCCAGGGTCCCTGCTTCTGGACAGCAGGGCATCTGCTTTAGGCTGTGTGCAGGCTGCACTCCAGACAGGCACAGCTGCCACATGGCCAGTGAGTAGAGCTGCAGCTGAAACCAGGGCCAGGGCTGCATGGGACTCAGTGTAGAGCACCGGTTCCACCCCCGCGCGCATGCATACATGCACAATGGACAGGTCCATCTAGTCTTTTCCACTATACTCTGCTGTCTTCCATGGAACAAGATGCGGAAATAAATAGGTAAAGAGGCCTAACCTTCCCAGGCCTGTCCAGGCTGAGTCAGGGCGGTCTTGCTCCCTGAAACCGGGGCCCTGGCCAGGCTGTGCCCCGCTGCCCTGAGTGAGAACCACTTCCGCCCGCCCGGCGTGAGGGACACAAAAGGGACTAGAGATCAGCAGGAACCCCGAGCCGGCTCTGAGGGTCAAGGCGTGGACAAGCTCGCCCCCCTGCTGGCCGCTTCGGGAACTGTAGGCGCCTTAGCCTGTTCTGGAGGGACTTGAAGAGGCCGGAAATTTTGTTTTTCTGGGGGATTTAGCTCAGTGGTTCCGCTGCCTGCTTCGCAAACTCAAGGTCTCCAGTTCGATCCCCAGTACCACAAAAAAAAAGAAAGAAAGAAATTAATTGTTTTCCTGGCAGCCATACTGGCACCAAGAGCATTTCATCGAATATTTATCTCCTATGTAGTCAGATGGATGAAATAAATACTAATTGCTAACATGGAAATAAAAGGTCACTGCAAGGTGAGGTGATACACGCCTGTAATCCCAGCACTCAAAAGGCTGAGGCAGGTGGATTACTACAAGTTCAAGGCTAGCGTGGGCTACCTAGTGAGTTCATCTTGGACTATCCAGAAAGGCCTTATCTTAAAAAAAAAATTCACTGCCACCCACAGACCCGCAGACTTGGCACCATCCTCTCTCCCCCCACACACCAGCTTGATCCATTCTAAGGCTCTCTTCTCCCAATGCTCACACCAGGGGACACAGCATTCAATGCACACCCCACCACAGGACCACCCTGTGGCACAGCCGGTGGGCAGGATAAAGTACCAACTCCTGCCCAGGTGTAAAAGCTAACTCTCCATCAGACCCTCAGGCCCTGGGTTCAGAACCACAAAGACTTCAGGAAAGCATCATTTAATTGAGCCAACAGCAGTGACACTGGTTACATATGCATGCCAGGGACTGCTCACTGCTGCCCATGAGAACAGTCCTTGCATTGGCTGAGCTAGGTCACACCTTGCACAAGGGAAGACTCAGCATGGTTTGGGTCAACAGTGACACCCAAAAGCTCACATACTCAAGAGTGGGAATTTGGGCTTGTGGAGTGCCCAGCCTCCACAGACAAGGTCCTCACTATGTGTAAGGTCATGGGCCCTGGTTGGCACGGTGGCCCTCTGAGGTGTGAAAGAAGGGTGTCTTTCCCTGGCTAGCCTCCTGCTCAGCTGAGCCTCTTTCTGCACTGGAGACAGCTGACCATGGATCAATAGCTTGAAAATGTAAGTCAAAATAAACCTTTTCAATGACAAGGTGGCACACACCTATAATCCCAGCACTATAGGAAGCTGAGGCAGGATTCCAAGTTCAAGTCCTGTCTGGGCAACTTAGTGAGAGCATGTCTCAAAATAAATAATTAAATAAGAGCTGAGGATGTAACTCAGTGCAAAGACCCTAGGATTAATCGTCAATACAAGAAAAAAAATGATGACAAGATAACTTCAGGGAGGCTGAGGCAGGAGGATCACAAGTTTGAACCCAGACTGGGCAACTTAGTGACTTAATGAGACAGTTTCAAACTAAAATATAAGAAGGGTGGGAGACACAGCTCAGCGCTAAGGCTGACTTAAACCCCCAGCATCATACTGCTTAAAACCCCTCTGAACGAGCAGCTGTTAGGTCGGGAGAGACACTGTTGTAGGAAGACAGGCTGCAGGCAGCAGGCAGACAGAGCACTGCTCTCAGGACTGCAGTACAGCAGAGTTTGGCATCTCAAGGGGCAGGACTGGGTTCTGACTGTGCCTGACACCCTCTGCAGACAGCACAAGCACCCCACTGTGGAGTGAGGGTGAGGTGGACCTCTGGGCCGGGACCAAACCCAGGGCCTCAGTATATTAGGCCCAGACAACTGATCGCCATCAAGCCTACAATCCACTTCTTTCCAGAACTCCAGAACAAGCAGCTTTCACTATACTCAGACTCACAGGGAGCTTTGCAGACTGAGCACCCTGGGCATGGGTCCCTGGGTGTCAGTGTTTTTAAGTTTCCCACATGCTTCTCGTGTTCAGCTGGTTACTGATCCTTGATTTAAGCTTGGGGTCAGACTTGTTTTTGAGACAGGCTGGCTTCAAATCGCAGGGATTATAGGCAGGCACCACCACTCCCACTTCTTTTTTCCTAGCGAACTATTTCTGCAAAGGGGTACATATTAGGCATTTTAGGCTCTATGGGTCCATCACAAGGTTTGTCACTGTCTCAGTTACTTTTCTTAATGCTGCTTAGACAAAATAGGTACCTGACACCCAACGTTGAAGGGGAAAAGGTCTGTTTGGCTGTTTGTAGAGGTTGCAGTCCAGCTGGCTGACTCCAAGGCAGGGTGGCAGGCAGAGAAAAAAGTTTATGGCGGCCAGAAGGTAGCAAAGCAACAGGGAACTTATGTCTTTCTGCCCCTTTTGTCCCAATAAGACTATGGGGATCAGGGCAGTGCCAAACCAATCACCTCGTGCAGTAGTTTAGTACCACACGCCCTTCACCAACATCACACTCAGACTCACCCACCCATGCCCCCGTGACACTGTGAGGGGACATCCAGACCAAACCAGCCCCATCCCGCCTTCTGTGAACGTAGGAACCCCCATGTGAGTGGCCCAACTGCAAGCCCCCACACCAGAGGCTGAGGGAGGAGCTTCACAAGTTTCAACCCAGCCTGGGTGACTCAGTAAGTCTCAGAATTAAAAAAGCAAAACCCACTCTCAGCTCCTTAGTAGCAGGTCGCCTAGCCAGTCCCCAGCAAACAGCCAAAACACAGAGAGGTGGAGCAAGGGGGGGGTGGACAGGCTCACTGCACTGAGACTCACACCACACCACAGACCAGCCAGTTTATTACTGTGCTGTAACAGAACCTTTTCCATGAAGCCCAAAATGCCCATGTCATCATCAACAGATGTTCTTCCTGGTTACACAGAAAGCCAGCCACGCTTAACACATATTTCCTGTGGAATACACACTCAAGACTTCCCATACCCATGAACACTGGGGCAGTCCCAGGTCAGGCCTGGACTCTCCGTCCACCCAGGGCTCATACAGACAGAGGTCATAGGGAATTCACCCTGCAACCAGTTACTCTGCTGAGAACTGAGACTTTTTAATCAGTTCTTCACCTCCACCTCTTGATTAGTGATTTCCAACCATGTAGGAATAGGATTAATTCTGGGTCTCCATTGTTACCAAGACAGAAATACCAAGTAAAAAGTACTTCTCACATGAAATTAGTGCTATTTTGTTCTCAACAATGTAAAAACAAGGGAAGAGGCAGCCTTCAGCTTAGTACAGTCAGAATGTAAGGGCCAAGCTGTCAAGAAATGCTTTTGAACAGTACAAAAGATTGCTTTTAAATTAAAACCAAGTGTATTGCAAACAAACATAAAAATGATAAAATTACAGAAAACAAGACTGATCCATCCCATTCATACCATATTAGAGCTCTGCCTCCACAAAATCGTGAATTTTACCCCAAAAAGTTGGTTACCTCCCTGCCGGCTGGAGGCTGCCGCCCGGCACAGAAACCAGACACTGGGGCTTGGAGGGGCACGTGTGTGGTCTGTAACGGGCACACATGCGATTCCTGATTTTGTCTTGAGCAACAGCCAAGACTTTATCCATGGGAACTCACCTCTGAAAACCACAACAGAAATCAATGAAAAATCATTTAATATAAAATATACAAATTTCGCAGTATGAGGACTTCCTCAGAACAAAGGAAGAACTAAAATGTATTTCCTTAAAAAACACCCTTCTTACCTTGCCCCTGATATTCAACACTCAAAAAAACAAATCTGTACAAAACTAGGACACAGAAAAGGACCCGAGACGACACTCAGGACCGACTCCAAACTTCCGTCCTCACAAAGAACCTGCCCACCAGAGCAGCGGGATCCAGGCCTACGCAGGCAGGCGAGTGCCCTGGGAGCCACTGTCACTCGCTGTCAAACTTGATGGAATTGACCTGGACGGAGATGGAGCCTCCTCGGTAGCTGCCTCGCTTCTTCTTGGTTTTCTCGTGCCTGAAGGACTTGCCCTTGGTGAACTTCAGAACCTGATTGGCCCGTTCCCCCCAGTCTCCGGCTGCACCTCTCTAGTAAGCAGAGAGGAAAGGCAGTCAGCGCTCGGGAGGACCAGGCCGCAGCCCATCACCTGTCTTCCCACTTCGGCTCCAGCGACAGGAGCCCAGACAGCTCCCACCAACCTCAACGAGAAGCCGACCTCCGTCTCCCCACACTTCTCCCAAGAACGGCAGACTCAGTCTGTCCTCACCTTGGCATCAAAGGAGTTGTCTGCCACTCGCGAATCCACCTCAATTTCCTCCTCCTTGACCCTTCGAAATGGAGAAGACGCTCTTTTTTCTCCCTGGAGAAGCATGAAGTAAGACACTAGAGAAGGAGTGGCCACTGAATAGCTCTCCCTAGCAGCGTGCGTGCTGTGCAGGCCAGGCCAAGCCAAGATGTACAGGTGATCTGGATTTTTGTTCCTAGCTTTGAAGGTCTGGCTCCTGAGAAGAAAATGAGACAACTTACTTTCTTCCTTTTTGGAAATGTGTTGGGAGTTTGGAGCTTAATCTTCTTGGTTTGCGGAGTCTCTGCCTCCTTGACTGCCCCACTCTGTTTCCGCTTCTTTCCAGAACCTGCAAAACAAAAGCTCCACTCATGAGCCCAGGTTCCCATGAGGGTCTGCACCAGGAGGCCCGGCCACCACTGGGCCTCCTCTCTCACCCACCTGGACCCAGGGGCAGAGCCAGAGTCTCTAGACACAAACCTGGCTTAGCAGAGGTTGCTGCTGCCTTTTTGCTCCCTGACTCTCCCTCCTCAGCACCGGCCTCATTGGCCTTCCCATTCTGAGCAGTTGGTGCCGAGGTGCCATTGGTCTTTGGAGTTTGGGGCCGTGGAGTGGACTTGCCCTTGGGTTTCTTCTCTTCTTCACTGGAATCATCAGAGGAAGAACTGCTGCTGCTCTCAGCCTTGGCTTTCTTGGCAGAGGCTGCCTTTGAGAAGGCTACCCCTCCCACCACTTTCTCAGGCTTCTTTTTAACCGGGGATTTGGATGGCTTCTCTTCCTCCTCCTCACTGCTGGAGCTGTCCGAGTCAGAGCTGTCGCTCTGCGCACCCTGTCTGGCAGGCAGAGATGGTGTGGCTTTGGCGGTCACCTTAGCCTTCAGGGCAACCGCAGTCTTCTGTGTCTCCTCCTCTGCACTGGAACTGCTCTCTTCCTCACTAGAGCTGCTATCGGCCTTCCTGGTCAGAGGCTTCTGTCCACTGCCTGCAAGTTGCTTGGGACTGGCAGCTGCGGGCTTGGCTGCAGCTGGCTTAGGAGTGATAGCTGGCCGACTTAAGGACTTCTTAGCACTACTGGCTGGCTTTGACGAAGCTTTGTCCTCGGAGCTGTCAGAGTCTAGACAAGAGGGGACAGAATAAGCAGCTACCAACCAGACTTCAGGGGGACCCTCTAGCACAGCCCAAGGGAAAGAGCACCGCACTCTCCCAGAGGCCCCTGTAGGCTCACCTGAGCTGTCTGAAGTGCTCGCCTCTACCTTCTTTGCTGGAACTGGTTTAGTGGCTGCTTTGGAGATGGCTGCTTTAGCTTGGGGTCTCTTCTCTTCCTCAGAGCTGGAATCTGGGGAGAACCTATGGCATTATGCTAGGTCCAGAGGCCCAACCCAAGCAGGAGGGGAGTAGAAAGAATGCACACACCAAGCACCTTATCCCAGCCCACTGCAGCTAAAAGCAATACAGGCACAGAGGCTGTCTCATCGTTTTTTTTTTTTTTTTTTTTGGTACTGTGGAACAAACTTGGGACCTTGTGCCTGCAATGCAGGTGGTGGAACCACTGAGCTAAATCCCAGGCCCTCATTACTGTTCTTTACGCTCCCCAGACCCATCCTGGCAGGGAGTTGCAGCTCACTCACTCACCAGACTCATCACTGCTGTCTTCACTGCTTTCCTTGGGATGTTTCTTCTCCACAGCTTTCTTAAAAGATGGGGCTCCCAGAGGCTTCTTTGGTGGGGGAGCAGGTGGGGGAACAGAACTGTAGGGACCTGTTTAAATGGGACAGTCTGGTGGCCTGAGTACCTGTGCCTGCCCTACACTGCAAAAAAATAAAACTCACTCAAAAACTCCTTGACAGTTCTTTTTTTTTTTTTTCAGACAGGGTCTCACTATGTAGTTGAGACTGACTTGGAACTCACTATGTAGCCCAGACTGGTCTCAAACTCACAGCGATCCTCCTGCCTCAGCCTCTCGAGTGCTGGGATTACAGGCATGCGCCACCACACCCGGCTGATGCAGCCCCACAGAGGTCTGAGTCCTGACTGCACTGCCACACCCCCTGATTCCATGTCCTTACCTGGTTTTTTCTTCACAGGCTTTTTCTGCTCCTCTTCCTCCTCACTGGAGGACTCTTCACTACTAGAACTCTCCTGAGTCGGAACAACAGGTGCTTTTACAGGGGCTTTGGCCATGGCTTGCTTTTTAGGTGTAGCCTGCATGAGATAGAAATTATATTATCAGAGAAAAGCAGTGATGCAAACAACGCTGGCTGGAAACTGAGACACCCATCACCATCAGTTTCCCTGACAGACCATCTTAGGGATGGCTCCTGCTGTCTCCTCCTCTGAATCTTCGCTGCTGCTGCTGCTGCTGCTGCTGCTGCTGCCGCCTCCGCCTTTGCCATTGGCCACCTTAGGTGCTGTTCGAGCTGGTGTACCTAAGGAGAGGTTTATTTGGTGGGGGAGGTACTAGGGATCGAACTCGGGTGGTTGCATTTGCAAGGCAGGAATGGGAACCACTGAGCTAAATCCCTGGCCCTAGAGAAGGTATTTTTAACTGAAGAGCAGCCATGAAGGAGAATGCTATGATTTATCAGGCGAGATACAAAGATCTAAAAAAAACCAGTGTGACAAAAATCATTTGCACACTTCCCCCAAAACCTTTCGCTTCCACTTCTATTCAGAAAAGCTTCAGGCCGGGTGTGGTGGCGCATGCCTGTAATCCCAGCACTCGGGAGGCTGAGCCAGGAGGATCACTGTGAGTTCGAGACCAGCCTGAGCTACATAGTGAGTTCCAGGTCAGTTTCAACTACATAGTGAGACCCTGTCTCAAAAAACCAAAACCAAAACCAAAACCAAAACCAAAACCAAAACCAAAACCAAAACCAAAACAAAAACCAAAACAAAAAAACAAAAAAACAAAAAAAAAAAAACAAAACAAAACAGAAACACTTACATATATCACAACCTAACCTGCACAAGGAAATTACCCAAGCTTTTTGTAAGACATGACACTGATCTTCAGTACCCTAATGCAGCAGCCAATATGATCTCACCTCAGTGCCTAATGAGCAATTTTAACACCTGCTCCTGGGCCCATCCTCCTGGGAACAGAAACAGTACCTGGTTTGGCCCTGGCTTTCGACTGAGCTTTTGCTGCTGTAGGTGTTGTCTTTGGCTTCTGGTTCTTTGGTACCTCGTCCTCTGAACTTGATTCAGACTCAGACTCGGACTCAGACTTTTTGGCCTTCTGAGGAGGAGCTCTGGCTGCCTTGGCTTGGGGTTTGACTCCCTTCTGCTAAAAAATACACAGAGTGGAGAATCAGCCAGAGCTTCTGGGTATCCAAAGGCCATTAGAGGTTTCTATTTTTTTTAGGGGTAAATGAAACACGATGGGTGGGGAAACCCAAGTAGGACAGTATACAGCAAAGGCAAAACAAAAGTTGGGCATGGTAGGGCTGGGGATGCAGCTCATTAATTCTGCACTATCTTAGCACGTGTAAGTCCTTGGGTTCAATCCCCAGTACTGGGGTGGGGGGGACTGAAAAACGGGCATGGTCGCACACACTTGTAATGCCAACACTTGGGAGGTTGTCTGAAGCTACTTGAAATACTGTCCTTGGCCCTGTCACATCCTGCTAACTGTCCCAACAAAACACCCTTTTTCTCTTGAACTTTGAGGTCCTCCTGCCTCAGGATCCAGAGTATCTGAGGTGCTAGGCAAGCAACAACCATGCTGGGCTACACAATCACCCCTCGATCACAAGCAAAGGGCCAAATTTAGGGTTTTTCCCTTTCCAAACCCTTAAGCAACACTCTTTAGTTCCAAAGCTGCAAACCTGGACAGTGTTTTTCTTTTTGTCCTCCTCCTCATCATCACTGGATTCTTCACTGCTACTGCTCTCTGAAGCTTTGGCCACAGTCTTTCCAGGCCGCTGAGGTGGAATGGCTCGCTCAGCAAGTACAGATACAGCTAAATAAAAACACAGGTCAAGGAGGAATCAGCCTGTGGTTTAGGTGGGCAGGAAATTCTCCTCCTGGGGCCACTGAGCCCAAACCACTTGCTCCACCTTACCAGACTTCTTAGATGGAGGTCCTCGTGCTTCCTCTTCCTCCTCGCTGCTGTCCTCGCTGCTATCACTGGATGAGCTGCTTTTCTTGGCCTTCTTAGTCACTGGTCCATTTGCCTGTAACTTCCGCTTGGGGGCTTTAGTGGACCTGCTGGGGTAGAATGGGCTAACTTCTGGGGGTTCAGAATGTTCTCAAACCAGGGAAAACAGCCCGGCCCACCTGGGAGAGAAAACAGCCCAAGTGGAAAATTGAAGCCTTACTTGAGCCAGAAGCTATAGATGTCCAGGAGGGAGGAGGCATTGGCATCCTGCTGCGTCTGTAAGAGAGTTGGATAAGGAAATGTTATCCTGGTTACTCTAGGAGAAGCCAGATTTTGTGCTTTTCTTTAACTATGACCCATTATATACCTACTAAAATTGGAAGGAATGTTACACCTTCTTAAGACTTTTCCTACCTGAATAAAGTAAGAAAAAATATTTCACTTATGGATCTCCTGATCTTTGGTACCAAAACAACCTATCCTGTAGTTAGTTTATGGCACCATCTATCCCCCTGCCTGCCACTCTGTAGTTATCAAAGATTTCTTTAGAAGTTTACCTAGCCAGGTAAAGTAGTGCACACCTGTAATTCCAGCACTCAGGAGGCTGAGGCAGGAGGATCGCTGTGAGTTCAAGACCAGCCTGGGCTACATAGTGAGTTCCAGGTCAGTCTCAACTACAAAGTGAGACCCTGTCTCA